AATTTAACGTGCTTAATTGTGTTACTACATATTTACTGCCTTTGTTAGCCGATACGTAGCAGGTACCGAGACCCTCTATATCATGGATAAACTCCTCCAAAGACAAATATACCTCTTCTCCAAATTACCTTCAAATCGGCTCCAATACTGATTTTTTTCCTTTGGTGTGTATCCAACAGAAACGGAATTCATTCCGATACAGCACTTAAACCCTCCCAGAAGACTCAAGAAGAACCGCCAGTGTTGTGCAATAGTTTATTATTACCGTTTGGATGAAACGACAGGATGTGAGATGGGTAACAATGAGCACGAACGGAAGACGGAGACTGAGCGCACTGCAAGACTGAGGAGAGTGAAGAGGTCACCCAGTCAAACACACACTACAATGGTATAGCAAATCTCTTCAGTTTATAATCCACTTGTGCTGAATTGCATCAAACCAACAATTTTCCAACTATCTGGCATAATTCAGCATGCCAGCAATATCCACATCACACTCGTTCCTCACTCTCGAAATCGCGCTGACCTAAAAGTCTAGCGTGGGACACACGCTCTCCAACCTTAATTTAATAGCGACATTGTGTCATATGCGCTGTCTATAAACCCAACCAGAGTAGAGCATCCATTGCGGCAGTCGTGGAGGTGCATCGAGGAGGAGAAAATGCAGGTGAGAACACTGCGATCACTTTGCATACCACACTTCCGACATCAGAGTTGAGTTGGGTAATGGCCAGCTGCCACACCACTACATACATAATCGCCTTTCCCACTCACATGCATGATGTGCGGGCTGGAGTAAAACAGTCGGTGCGTCGCATATGTGGAGTTTTGGATGGTAGCCATCTGACGTGCCACGTACCACCTACAGGTACAAATTCATCCAATGGATCCTCTCGGGTCTCAAGTAACATGCAATGCAGTCCTGCACCTCTCTTTCCATCCATCTAGTGCTGCCTCATCAAGAGTCTTCCCGCTCTAAGTGTCTTAGGAAACTACAGATCGGGATGATGTAAATCTCGTGACTGTGGTCATGGAATGCACGATGTGGATGCGATGGTGGCAGGACATGAGAAACACTGGTAGAGCGTGAGACCTGTTGTTTATAAAAAAAGATTGCTTACCATAAGCCAAATTGTCTTAAGGAGGGGGTGGCAAACCATAGAATGGTGCAAGTGGAGGAGCATATTCCATCTCACCTATTGGAACTTCAGGGGGATACCACATTGGCTCCTCGAGTGGAACAACGTTGTCAATTACTTCAACTAGTGCAGAACAAATCAAAGTCTAAACGGTTGACGGACAAACAAACAAACAAACAATGTCTTATAAAACAAGACAAATCATGTAACCTGGAGGCTGGTAAAATGGTATTTGTCCCATTGGTTCTTGAATTGGCTACTAGAAATATGAAGAAAGATTTTATGCCTAAGTATCAGAAAAAGATATTTAAAGAAATTAATTTTTCCACGACTTATTCACACTGCTAACCTCATCACTTCATTGCATAAAATGATCATTTTAACCAAACACTGCCGGGAATGATCACGATACTCTACTCTAAGCTGACTTTACAATCACTGACGCTGGTTGAAAATATAACCGATAAGGTAGTAACCTCGAAGCCTTTTCTTAAGTGGGACAAAGTGCCAACTCAGTCGTCATCTTTAGCATTAATTTTTGTCCAATTCATTCATGACTTCATCTTGCGTTACACTTTTCCTCATTCCTAACCTCACATAGGATTACGTAATTTACAAGTCTATGAAACTGCCGAAAGGCCAAATATCTCTTCTATCTTATGCGGAACCTTCATATACCTGAGTAATGTGAACTCAAATGGACAGAATGGTGGTTTGACTACACCATTCGCCCTCTCTTATGAAGTACTTCTCCTTTACTGGCAATATGACAGCCTATATAGCAAAAGACACAGCATACGAAGTGTACTTACTGGCAAAAAGCACTTTTGGAGCACATGAACTACATAAAGTGTCTACTACGCTCCAAAATGCATAGTTCATGACAACTACTGGCCTTAGAAGTTTAATAGGGGATGGTATTAAGTAAGGATATTACAGAAAGTCAGAAAAAGGTACATACGTGATGCCAGTGGGTAACTTGCACCTCCTATGCAAAGCAAATTAAACGTTGGCGTCCCACACTGGCTTTTAATGCCATTTCAACCCGCAAATTAGAGACTCGCACCCGGAGCTGTCCATGCGGGCACCAGCACAAACGCTCATGGCACCTTCACAAACAGTGTGGTGTCTTTGTAACTTATTTTTACGCAGCACCCTTATGCATATCATTCTTAACCATTTCCTAAAATATTTTCATATTTCTCACTTGGACCACCTTGATGGTTTGCGATTTTACTCATTGCCTATGAGATGTCCAGACAGGGTTTTAAAAAGACTAAAAACTAGCTTAGAATTTTAGCCCTGTATTCGAATCAATGTTGATCCAATTCTCAAATCAACGTCAAGAGTCCAAACATGTCAGGTGGTGTGGGGCTAGGAGACAAAGGGATGATTGTTGTATAAATTGCACCAGATGAATTAACTGGATTACTCTCCTAATATTTAACTAGGCTGTTGGATACCTATAGGGTGTACTAAGTCGCGGTGAATAGCTTCTGAACCATGCACCATCATTATCTGGGCGTTTGCAATTCCTATTCAAACATTGTAAACCATACTAAGCAGTCAGCACTTTGGGACGCCAGTTGGTGGCGCCCCCTCCCCCATTCCTCCCCCCTATCAATCACCTTTCACCCTTCCATCCACCCACTCCGCATACATCCAACCATGATTTACTTCCCATCAAACTCGTATTCTTCCCGCATCCATCCATTTTACTCATCCAACCACCCATCTATTTATCTACTCACTCATTAAAATCCAATTGACTATTTTTCTAGTTTAATCACATTTACTTATTTTTAGTTATCACTACTTTATTCATCGGCTTTATACCAATTTACTACCACGAGAATTCAAAAATTGTACGCATAATATGTACAGTCTCATAAAATACATAGATTTCCTCATCATTGACGTAAATTATCACAACACTGCTTGCAGGAGTTAAGTACCTACAATTCATGTAAGCTGAATAGACCTGCATGGATGGCTAAAGCTAAAGCGCAAACTCCCCCAGCATCCATTTGGATGAGTCAAAAGTCTTAGTGATATCATGTAATGACTGCATGCCTGAATAGACCTAGGTGACAACCAGTCAATTTATGCTAAATCCGTGGCTAAGCGCACAACACTAAACATTAAGGAGATTAACACTGATCCCCTATGCTGATCTATAAACTCTCGAACTGTATAAATATATGCTCCCTCCCTGTCATTAATCTCCCCAATCGATGGGGCTGGAGTCGAATGTGGATGAGATAAAACACGCCTAAACACCACACAGACCACGACAATTAAAACATACTGAAGTCGTTCTCTGGATCTGCTTTTAGGGCTTTTAAACACAATGGATGCTACACCTACACCTTCAGAGCATGTTCTTGGGTCAATGTGAAATTTAGGATACCACAGAATACCGATTTTGAGCAATGCTGAGACACTTTAGTCAAACTTGTCACTCTGCAGCAAGAATAGATAATTGTTAGAGGGATATTCTATCGTGACCGGAAGATGGAGCGTTGCATTAAGTGGTA